GTATGAGTTGTATAACTTAAATTATTAAATGAATATTAAGAGTTATCCCTCATTCAATATATATATATATATATATTTGTACTCTTGTATAACTTAAACTACAAAACAGGATATTAATATAAAAAATCATTATACTTAACAATAAAAGCAAATTGCTAACTATTGTATTTTTTTTGTTTTATGTTATAAAATGAGAGGTTATCCTTTTACTAACCTCCCCCTCATTTCTCTATAACTTAAAATCTTTTATGCTATTTGCAAAAAGAGATAACTACAAAAAAAATTACTCTTTATTTTAAAATATAAATCATTTAACTTTTTATATGTATTTTTAAAGAATAAAAGGAATTCTTCATCTTAATATTTGAGCTAATTTTTATTTAATAATTATTAATTTACAAATTGAGACAATTTTATAATAGTTTATTAAATTTGTGTCATAATTATAATTTTTATAATTAATTTACATAAAAATTATAAAAATTAATATTCATTTTAACACTATTAACACATAAATAATTTTAATTAATTAATTAAATTAATATTTATATTTATATTTTTAAAAATATTAATTATAAAAAAATAAATTAATCACACTTTTAACATATATCCTTAAAATACCAGATTAAAAAAAAACCCCCTTCCATGAACAAAATAATCCAAATGCTAGATGAGGAACTCTTAAAAAAAAAAAAAAGCACTAAAAAAACGTGCATTAAAAAAAAAAAGCTCAAAAAATCATTCCAGATTCCGCGATTTTTTTAACGGCTCCGTTAACGGTTCATTTTATCCGGGGTCGTAATCTGCACCAGCAAAGCAGATTCATCAATCATGTGCTTCTATTCACCATACGTCGGTTGCCTCTCTTTTTTCTAGTAATAAAAAAAAAAATATCCAGCCAGCCATCGCCATTTTCACTTCTGCTCCGATATTATCCCAGCGCCCTTGCAACACGGAGGAAAATGGACGCACTTCTCTATGCCGACTTCCTCCGCGTCGCCCGCCTCCCCTCCACAACCACTGCCTCCGCCTCCCTCGCCTCTCTTCAGCTCCCCTGCCAGCTCATCTTTCGTCCTGCGCGCCGCCTCTCTCTCTTCTCCTCCGTGTCCGCCGCCAGCCAAGTTTCTGGTCCTCGCAGATCCTGCATTTTTGCAGCCAACGGCACGCTCACGGCCAATTCCGTACCGGTTTGTTGGTCCATCTATGTTGTCTTTGACAGAGTATCATTTCTTAATTCTATTATGCTGCTGCATATACGACACATATTGCTTGTAATTTAACACTGAAATTAGGAATTTTTAGTAAGTTTTTTGGGTTGCCTTGATGTCATTCGCAGCAAACTGGATATGAGTTATAGATTATTCAAAGAAAAAGGTATAGTTAGCTGCATGAAAGTCCGCCAATTTTCTTTCTTGTGCTGTGTTATATATACGGTGGAATGGAATTGGATTGGATGATGAACAGGTTAGGATGAGCTTTATGGATAAAACAATGCCCTTGTTGTTGATTGTTGATGCCCTTTATGTTTTTTTTTTTTTTTGGAAACTAAATTCATGGTTGCTTTATTTTTGTTGTGTTTACAGTGTACTAGGGGAAAGGAAAAAAGAGTCACTGTTTGTTACTTGCATTCAGTAGTTTTCATATTGAAGTACTTTATTTTGAAGTAAAAAGATTATAGAAATAAAAAGGGAAAAGGGTACTCTACTATCATTCTTGACATAAATGTTTACCTGTTATTATGCAGCCTAAAGGAGGAGTATATACAGTGGGAGATTTTATGACAAGGAAAGAGAATTTGCATGTTGTAAAGCCTACAACAACTGTTGATGAAGGTATCTATCGTGCTTTATATATATAAGGAAAAAAGGATTACCTCCTAGTTTCAGATAAAGAAATTCTAATGCATTAACTTTGTGCCAACAGCACTTGAAACTCTTGTGGAAAACAGAATCACCGGTTTTCCTGTGATTGATGATGATTGGAAATTGGTACATTTTTCTTACCCTTTCATTCTGATCATGTGAGGTGAAGATTCTTTTGGCATTCCAATTGTATTTTTTGCTATTCTGTTGTTTAAAGCTTAAAAATTCAAATTTTTATCAAAATTGACCCCCTTTAGTCAAACTATAAAAACTCAAGATCATATTATGATTGCTAGACATCTTCTATTAAGTGGAAGAATTTGATAGCAGCATTGGCTCTTTAGGCCCCTAGCAGTAAGAATCAAAGATAGTATCATGCAGACAACTGTTCCTCCCTTTCTCTATCTTTGGCAAATATTTGTTGTCTGGAAAGAAAGATGATCAACCTGTGCAATGACGTGATATTCTATCCTCTAGGCATAAATGAAAATGTCAGTTTTTGTTTTCTGTTTGTTTGGTTAAACAATGTCTGTGTGATTTGTCTCCTGATCCATGGTTCCTGTTACTGTGGAATAATAATTAGCAAATTTTCTTTGGTTTTGCAGGTTGGTCTTGTTTCTGATTATGACTTGTTAGCGCTTGACTCTATATCTGGTAAATTGAAATTGCAAGCAAATCTCACCTTCTCATCCATCTGTTTTTATTGTAAACATTTCCTTATTATTTGCTATTTGTCAATTAACTGGACTCTATTATCAGTAGACTACAAACCTGTGTTCTGGAATGAGCAAAATCTAATATTCAAATGGAGAGTGGGCATTTTCAAATGAGAAATTTCTTTCCTCTACAATTTAAAATTCTTTTAGTACCATAATAAGAGCCAATTCCTATTGACTGGGAATTTGAAATGGGTGTTTCTTCTAGGCAAAGGAAATTTTAATATATTTAAATGAATCTTGTGCTGATAGATAATGTAGTTGGAAACGTTATTACCTGACCAACTTTTTACCAGAACAGTTTCTATATTGCACTGTTTGAATGTATTTACAGGATGCTCCTAAATTCTTCATGTAATGTAGTCATTTCTTACATAGTGAACTATTTTGATATTAGGTCAAGGACTAGCTGACAACATCATGTTTCCTGAAGTTGATCGCACTTGGAAAGTGAGTGAGAACTGTCTTCTTCATTTAAATAGAGATTGTCTATTTTGGGAGTCAATGTCTTGCTACATCAGTGCTATTGTTTATAATGGGTATTCTGTAACAACATTTTGCAGTGAGAATAAATTTATATTGGGGTTTGAGTAGATCACATTTTCTGGAACTTATCTTGTTCCACTGGTTTACCACTGTTCAGATAAGTAGCATTTAAAGTGTCCAATTAATTAGTTCCTGACTTGCCAAAAAAAATGTTGCAGACTTTCAATGAGGTACAGAAGTTGCTCAGTAAAACCAATGGCCAGGTGGTTGGTGATTTAATGACACCAGCACCAGTTGTTGTGCGTGAAACAACCAATCTTGAGGATGCTGCTAGGTTTGTCATGCCTATCTTGCCTATGCTATCATGAACTTTTATGAGCTTTCTGGTTTTTACTGCATTCATTATAATATAAATTTAATCACATTATTGGACTTGTAATCTGTTCACCAATTTTCAGATTATTGCTTGAGACAAAATATCGCAGGCTTCCAGTTGTTGATGTTGATGGGAAGCTAGTAAGCATGACACTCTTACTCTTCTACCTAGTTTAGACTTGTTTGTTATCTTCTGTTCCGTACACCAATCTCTCTTTTTTTGTTCTGAAAGGTTGGTATTATCACAAGGGGAAATGTGGTAGGAGCTGCTCTCCAAATAAAGCGTGCTATTGAAGGGAAAGCTTAACTCCATATATTATTCCAAAAATTTGAAAGCATTATCCGCTATGGCAAGCGGGGATCAATTCTTTTTCTGGCTGCTTATCCCTTAGAAAGAGAAGCTCAACTACTCGGACATGTGCGATTTTGGCCAGATATTGTATGATGCGTCTTTTAGATCATTTATTCAAGTATAATTATACAACTAGATTTCCGGAAAACAGTAGTTTTTTGTCCGTACCTCTGTTTTGCAAGAACTCCCCTTGAAGTCTGCCTTCTCTCCACCAGGAATAGAAACTATACAAATAATAATCTATCTGTGATAATCTCTTTTTCGCCTTTTAACTGGTCAATTTTTTTTTATATACCAAATTCTTTCGTTTTGAAAAATCATATTAAATCTTAATTAATCAAAATTTAAGTTGAGTTAGACTTTACAAGGGGAGAATTTTCCAAATATATGTCTTTATTTGTTCTTTATTTATAAAATGCGAACTTAAAACTTAAAAGAAAATAAGTTTCTTTCATTTAAACTAACATATCAATGATAACTTTTTGTTAATTATTTATCATCTTTAATCCTATCTTGCAAAGTATTGTAGCATACATCATTTCTATAAACAGAATCATATTACAAAGTATTTTCCCCCCTCTCCACCAGAAATTAATCGGAATGTGGTTGTCGAACTAAAATAGGTTAAGTAAGTTTATATAAACAATTGAAGTACACTTTTATAAATTAACAGTTAAATTTATAAGGTACATCGTTTATGTCGGGATTAGGAATTGAGACGAAATTATTGCTTTGAGACATTTTCACGAGAAAAGTTGATTGCAAATTATAGTGAACTGATCGATTCCAAGAAGATGGATTTTAGGGCCATGAATATGGGTCGAATCCCCTTTTCTTTTCTTTTCTTTTTTTATCATTTGTCCATGTTGTTGCAACCACCTCGCTGAATGCCAGCTGCAGCCTGAAATTCCATCTCGGTTTCACGTACGAAAAAGGCAATTTGAAAGAATGACGTTGTCATTAGGGACATTCACAGAATTCATGTGTAGTGTTACTCTTTTGTCCGAACTACTGACGGATTGTATAAAAGAACATATTCTTTGCATCAAAAAGCGATCGTAAGGAAGCGGTGGGAGGAGGAAGAAAAAAGCGAGACTCCATACGCTGAGACAGTTGTAACCTTTTGGATTTTTGTTCTCTTTTTGCTCATACCCCTCCAATTATGCCGGCTTTGCATGCGTAGCTATAACAGCGAAATGTCTATGCATTGTTGGCAACAAAACCCAAAAATCCTTAGATATGAGAAAAATCGACTCAACCTGTCAACTCGATTCAATTTATCCCTTACATTGCTAGTAACAAAACCCAAAAAAAATCTTTAGATATGACAAAAATCGACCTAATCTATCCAACTTGATTCAATCTATCCACTTAAAACGTGTTATGGGTCCATGACCCATTTTGACCCATTTTATGGTATACTCTAAATAGTCGATATTTTCTATTTCTTCCACTAATTACGGCCATAATTAATTGTTCGTAGTAAACTATTTTGGAGTGTGTTGAGTTACATCCGCTAAGATTAATATTGTTCCTTGACTTGCACTTGACAGCTTAGATAATTAAGTGAAATAGTTGTTGACTTGGTTTCAGAACTTAACTTATTAGATATTTTATTATATTTAAAATACAACAGGTTTCTTTTTTTTTAAATGATTCATTAAAAATGAGATTTTTTTTTTTTATGAGTGAGTAAACCATTAGATGTGTTAAGATTATATATTTATATGTTCAAATTTCATTGAAAACACATCATTTTATTTTTAAAATTAAAAATTTATAAAAAAAAATATATCTTTTTTTTATATGAATTTAATTAATCAAGTTAATTCTTAAAATTTCAAAGTATATATTAAGATTGATTGTTTTATGGAGGAGCGGCGATTTGACAGGATGAATAGGAATATGTTGGGTGGCCAGGGCAAGGGAACGCACCAAGATGGACCTATATATGAATGATGATGATTGAATGGTGTGGGGGAGGCGGCAATTCCTCTCTTCTTCCCTTGTTGCTGTCCCAACCACATCACAGTGGAAAACTAGAAAATACCTAACACAAAAATCCTATCACTTTAGTAGTTATAACTTTAGTGGTTAGCGCATGGCCATTTTGCACCAACTGCTGGGATGTGTAGGCCATTGCTGTTTCCCTCATTACCTCTTTCCCCTTTAATAAATTTAAAGCCAAAATCCCTCCAGCTTGCACTGTTCCATCATTATAAAGTTCACTCTTCCACTACACTGATATAACCCATATGCCTTTCTTCTTATTAAGCAACCAAATTGATTGGATGGGGACTAGTCATGAGAGATTTATAACCTCTAAGTTTGTTCTCCAACATCTTCAATTTAAATGATATATACATGTATCTTATAAGGTTTGCTGGAAATTTCGTGTGGAGAACTTGTCCTTACTTCCTTTAAATTTGAGTAAATTTGATAATAGGCTATAAATAAGAATATTATTCATCCCCTTTTAAAATTCATCTTGATTAACCTACCTCTCTCTTATGCTGCACGTGAGCCTTCTCATTTCTCTCATTTTGCAACAACACAATTCTACTCTCCCCTTTCACCCATTCTTTAGCATCTTAATTTAAGCCCCATACTAACTTAAGCATCCAAGGGTCTTTGATTAGAGTTTAATTTCACCAACTATCCTAACTAATCTTCATTATTTGATAGATCTCATAAAAAAGCTTGATTTCTACATTCGCCAGTTCCAGAATATTAAAATTTAAATTTGAGACTTCTAAATTAAATTTTATTTCTCTAAGCATCTTTTCAATTCAAATGAATGGATGTCTAGCCCTACACATCTTGCATAGCAATTTTCTTTTTCTTGAAAGGGAACACTTTAAATATGAAAAGATGGAGGAAAGCTATATAATTTAAAACTTGACATAAGGATAAAATTGAAAGGTAAGAAGTTTCAAATTTAAATTCTATATCCAAAAGATGTGGGATATTAAAAATTAATTTTAAAAAAAAAACTATGAAAGATGAAAGAAAATACTATCTCTAAAAATTTATTGTCACAAGTCAATTAAAAATGAAAAGAAACTAGAAAAATGAGGTGAAAAACAGGAGATGAACTAAGCTAGAAAACTAAAATTAAAATTAGCTTAATATGCAACTATCATTTTTACAAGACAAAATTTTGACATATAAGTCCAAATAGAAAAGGGGTCTAAATATAAAACAGAAAAGTTTCCATTACACTACTAATTAACTGTTTTTTCCATGGGACTACTAATTAATTAACAATTTTTTTAATACAAAGCCAAAGCCCTTGGCATTTCTTCAGGCGTCCCCTACGCTTACCTCCACCGGCGCACGTTAGCCACCGCCGCGGTGCATCTTAGCAACCGCGGCCTCCTCAGCCTCCAAAACAGGACAAACGGAGAAACAAACACAGCTTTCGATTATCGGGTAAGAATCGGCGATTTGGGGTTTAGTTCCTCTCCCACTCGGGGTCTGAATCCTCCGGTTCGGGTAATTTGTTCAAGTCAACCTCCCGCAAAAAGCTGCCACTTGGCTTAATCTCAGCGTCGCCGCCTGGCTGGTGAAGGTTCTGATCGTATGTACGATTATAGTCATGATTATGGTTGTGATTTTGATGATGATGATGCGCCGCCTCGAGTGCATCGACTCTCGCGCCAACCTCGGTGGCCTTCTTCCGTATCAAAGCCGCCGACATGTCCCCACCGAGCGCGCCGCAGCCTTTCTCTCCTACCAAGAGCTCAGGGAAGTTCAGCCTCGCCGACGGCCCTCGAAGGTAAAACACCGCTGTGTCATAGGCACGCGCCGCCGCCAAGGGGGTCGAGTAAGAGCCCAACCAAATCCTAGACCGCTTGTTGGGCTCCCTAATCTCAGCCACCCATTTCCCCCACTTCCTCATCCTTATCCCCTTGAACGGCCTGTCCGACTTCCTCACTCCACCTTCTCTCCCCGCTCCCGCCGCCACAACGCCTGTTCCATGCTCCATGGCTACCACAAACAAATTAAAACTGTCCGAATTCCGAGTTGGAAAATTCTTCCACACAGCTCCCAAAATAGGAGTGAGGTTTTTGTCTGTGTTTTTATCCAAGGGTTAGGACAGAAGAAACCGAAGAGGGTCTGAACGGGGGCGGGCTTTACATGGCAAGTTGTTCGGGAACTGAAGGTTGTGTCATGAGTTTAAGGTTACACGTTTGAAGTGTTTGTGGAAAAGGTGATGAGAGAGCGAGAGAGAGAGAGAGAAAGAGAAAGAGAAAGAGAGAAAATACAAATTCACCGACACAAATCAGTGAGGGGAGTTTGTGTTCTTTCCTTAAATGCTTCAATTGGCAAAGAAAAAAAAATAAAATGGGGTCTAGTGGATGCTTTCATCTCTGGTCCCTCACACTTGGGGGGTGGTATTGTTGGCCTCCAATTGGTAAAAAAATAAAAATGAATAAAGAAGTACAATAATTAATCAATCAAAGTTATCGAATTAATGTTTTCTTCAATTTAAAGTTATTATTCTTTTAGTGGTCATGTGAAGAGCTCTTATTCATAATTCACTTGGAGTTGTTTTTTTTTTTCTTTCTTTCTTTTTTTAACAAAGGGGAATTTTTAGAAAAAATAAAAAATAGAACTCAAATTATTTATATCTAACCACAAATTATTTATATCTAACCACGCTTCTTTAAAGGGTGATCATTAAGTTATTAAGTGCTGGACATAACTCACTTAAAATTTAAAAAGTAAAATTTTAAATATGTTCATTAATATTAACAATTATTATATCAAATAAGCCACGAATTTTATTATAATAAAAGATTGATTGAAATCACATTTTGTATTAATAAAGCCCTTATATTTTCAAACTAATGTCAGAAGTAATTAATATGTTAACTATATTACAAGGATTTAAATTTCAATACATTCATGAATTACTTTTCTTCCCATCAAAAAAGAATTACTTTTCTTTAAATTTGAGATTCAATCAAGAATCACCATTTAATGGAGACAAATCTATATATAATTAAAAGAATGAAAATATTACAAGTACTTTATTTTTAAATATAATATTTTGTAAGATATAATTTATCGTTTTGTGGTTAATTTTTATATTTGATGATTTCTTGTAAATCAATATACATTTACTTTTTTAATATTACAACATTATATGATATGTTTTGCGGTTCGATGGTGCTACTTTTATGTTTAGAATTAAAATACTTTTTTATTTGATTTTATTAAAATTGTTTAATAATGAGTTGTTACTTATCGTAAATAAAATTGCTAGTAATAACAAGAACTATATTAAAATTTTTATTAAAAAAATAAAATAGAAAAAGTTTTAAAAAGCAGCTAAAAATAAAAGTAACTTTCTAAAGAATTTTCCTTCCACCAAAAAAAAAAACTTTCTAAAGAATTTTCAAGATTCATTTCCCACTTCACAGTCCCGCACAGTACTTATCCTGCCCTCTTCACTAACTCGCCTGTCACCCAACATGCCACCTGAAAACTGTATGACCTAAAATGCAACAGGTTTTTTAATTTTGAAATAAAGGGAGAAGTTATTATTGGGATAAACACTACTTAAAATTACAGTATGTGTGGTTTTAGAGAAATTAAAAGGAAAAAAAAAAAAGAAATGATTTTTTAAACTAATCAAATTATAATATTTATCAATATTGAAATCTAATTTATAAAAAAATTCATCTTTCTCCTCATCCCCTCACATCACCTCACTCAAAACAAATATGCCCTAAGAGACAAAATAATATGGTAATAATAAGAGAAAAAAAATGAGAAACATAAATAAAATTACGGGTTTGATGGGAGATAGGTGGAATGCAAAGGTAAGCTGAAAAAAAAAAAAAGGGAATGTAGTAATAAATTTGTCAATTTTGAAAGGATTATGATGCTTAATTTTTTTTGTTATTTTTAATAAAAAAAAAATTTCAGAGGAGGCAAATGGTAGGTCGGTGGTCGGTGGATTGAGATACCGTTAGGAATTGACTTTTCCTCAACGCAATAACGATACTGAGTGGGTGGACCGTTCTGCCCTTGTTGATTCTTGTTCTTACGTGAAGATGATTGGGTAGAATGGACATTTCAAATTTTTTTATTGACCCACTAAAGTAAAACAATGGGGCACCCCCACCCCCACCCTGTTTATCATATTAATTAATGGACGGCTAATCATTTATTTATTTATAGATTTTTTTTTTCCCTTTGTTGATAGAGTTTTCTAGTTCTTCCCTTCGCTTTCCATTCAATTACTAAATCATGAGAGGGGTGGTCGGTGACCTAAAAGTAAAAAATGGTATATAATTCTCAAGAAATAATTCATTTTTTTTTTTAAGGTAAATTAGAACAAGGAAATTGATATATAAATCTCATATGATTTAATATATTTATAAAAAATTTATTTTCTTTTAGTTTATAATTAAATAGAATCATATGTTACCGTCTACCTTAACCTTTAACAAAAAGAACAGAGGGTCTAATATTAAAGGAACCTCTCTTTTTAATTAGTTGTGATGTTACAATCTGCTTTATGATCTGCCACAATAATTAAAAATTTAAAAATATAATCATATACATTATAAAAAAATTAATTATATTAATTATATTTATATTATATTTTAATAATTAAATTGGTTATATGTCAATTTGTATATCAATTTGGAAGCTGTTAGAGTCATTTCCCTTAGAACAAGTAAATATAATTTAAATACATAAATATATAATAAATAAAATTAGTCATAATCATCTATGTACGTATAATTTCATTTTACGACTTTCTCTTGAAATATATCAACATTTAAGAAAAATATCTTAGATCTTATCATTACCAAACAATCTCAAATAACACGAGATTTCTCATAGTTTGGTTGAATTTCTGCCTATGAAGCCCTGATATCATAATTTAAGATGGAAATCTTGGTACCCATGAGTCAAGTCTTGCTGTATGCTGACGGTGTTTGGTAAAATTTTCTGCAAAGTTTGTGATATGCTGTGATGGGGGTATTGTAACCCTTAATTGGTCCCCTCAATATGTCAGTGAAAAGAAAATATTCTAATTCCACACCCCCTAGGTTAATAAAGTCACTTTAAAATTATAAAGAGGAAGGAAGAGACAGAGCGTACTGGTCAAGTAAAAGAGCCAAATATAAACTGTTGTTTATGGTGTCATTTTGATGGGATTTGGGTACCCACATGAAAGCCATTGTAAAAGTTGCAATTGCCAATGCCACTACTGAAAACCCATTTGTATTAGGAGCAAGAGACATCTTTGAGGGGCCAATTCCTTACCATTTCTTTTCAAATATACCAATCTGTCTTTCCTTTCTATTTACATTCCTTCCCATAGAAAAGAAAATAATAATAATAATAATAATAAAGAAAGAAAGAAAGAAAGAAAAGTTACATTCCTTCCTAATGGCCAAAGCAATGTCCCAATAATTCTAACACGAAGTCATTGACAACTCTTAAAATAAGTGAGGAGAAATTTAAAAAAAAATAAGATATGTATATATTTACAGACAATAGTTATATATTAACATTTCATTTGTTTATGTAACAAAATCCAAGCACCACAAGGTTAATTGTGTTAGTGGATGTTAGCTGTGAGCAAGTTGGCACATGCATAGGTTACCAAGCTGTTTTGTTCTTATCAAGCACTTTTGCTACAAGGGACCACTAAAATTTAATGGGAATTGTCCCAGATACAGAAAACTATTGCTTAAAAAGCAAAATCACAATTCCAGAGATGAATTTCCCATTTTTCTATAACCCATTAAAACAATTATGAATTGTCCAAAAATTTTGGGAGATAAAAATTCGTATATTTTTGTGTTTGCATATATGTATATATATAAAGAAAATATCTATTTACATATAAATTTTACACATTTTATTTATTTAAAATTTCAAATATTAAAAATGAATAGTTAAAATTTATTCATATTTATTAAAGATAATTATTATTTTTATTTAAAAAATATAATAAATCTTAATCATTAAAAATAAAAAAATTAATTAAAATTTTATATAAATATAATATATGTAAGTGAATTTTTCTTTTTATAAATATATATTTATATTTATGTCATTTCTGAAGCAGAAGCTAGCAGACCGACCAAAAGCCCCCTGTCTTGCTACCCTGAGCTGTTTTACTTATATATATGGTATGTATCCATCCAATCTTTTCTTTAATTTAGCTTAAGTTAGTGTTTGTTTTTAGCGTTTTAAAAATAATTATTAATTATTAATTTTAATTAAACATATTAGATACTTTCTTTTTTATTTTGATTACACAATAGGAGGTAATTATCTTTCATCTCTTATTCCACTCCACTTGCATGCGATACGATTCAAATTTAAAATCTCTTACTTTCAATAAAAAAAAAATGATTACTCAATTATTTAAGTCGTTGGTAACACATTAAATACTTTGAATATAAACAAAATGATTATATAAGGATTGTTAGCTATCAACAATATTTGAGTATTTGATCCAAAATACCTCTTAAATATTTTCACAATTATTTTTTAAGAGGGTTTTTTTAACCTGTGTCCTTAAGGTACAAGTTAAGAATATCTCTTTATCGTAAATGTATATAAGAAAATGTAAATGCTAACATTAATTTTAGAATTGATGTGAAGTGAATAAATTGAATTGGAAAGTTAATAAATTAAAAATCAATTTTAACTTTTTCGATATAAATTTATGACAATTTATATATTTGTTACATTATTAACTTATATCCCAATAGTACCTACCTACGAGAAAATCCTTTTTTAAGAAGGGCAAAAAAATGGTTAGACTGGGTTTGAAATGACAAGCATACCCCTTATATTCTCTAGTTTTGATGTATTAATAAAGGGTATTTTTGTCAACCAATCAGAACTGAAAACCAAAAAGAAGAAAAGCAAAAATCTTTAAAAAGATTACCTCTTAATGTTCACTTGTCTGTTTCTCCCTGCTTTCTTGTCGGAAAGTGAATACCGCCACCGCATTGCAATGGCCGAAGAAAACAAAGAATTTTCTTTATCCTACATTTTTTTTTTTTAGTAATTCTTTTTTCTTCTTTTTCTTCGTGCTCCATTGTCAATAATGGATTAATTTAGTTTAGCAACTTAATCCTCTTGGACAAGGAAAGGATGTTGCATTAATTAAGGTTTTGGAGTTTGGACCGCCCCGCCGATCTATCTTGCTTGTTTGGCAGGCAAGAAAATGAGGGAATCAAAGTGAGCTACCCAAGAAGCAAAATGGGTTCGATTCATTGCATGATTTGAATGCAAAAATAATGTTTTGACAACAATGATTAAAATGCCCCACAACCTGGAAGTTTAATACAGTAAAAATTAACGTAAGAAAAGGGTGAATTCCTAGAGGCTAAACCTAATTAAGGGACTTTTTTAGAGCCAATTTGTCTTTTGTTATAAGGTCTTAGGCCATGAAGAAAATTTACCCTTGATAATGTTACCGATAAGTCATGTGACCGGAAACAAGTCAACAAAATGAGTGAAAAAGAAAGCGGAAAATCTCGTCTCCGCTACGTTCGATGCCTCATTTGTTAAAATTTTCAATGTGTATATTGAAAATTACGGCTTTGAATTTTAGACTAATTAATTGGAGACTTAGAGAAGAATATGATATATCATCATCAGATAGCTATATATATATA